TTAAAAACTTTTATATATAACATGTGTTCGATTTTTGTGTAATATTTTTTTGGTTGATCTACTTATATAAGAAATGAAAGTTAAAGTGCTCAATACAAGATCAAACTATCTAATAGGTTGTTCTTAGACTAAAAGCCGGCTGTCTCTAAAAGATGTCCAATCTTGATTATTGCACTGCTATTGGCCACTATATCCCACATATGGCACGGCATACTTAAGAATATAATTTAGCCTGGGCTCAAGCTTCTATTATATCAGAACCTCTTTTCCCTTTTAATTCTTTCTTCTTCCCAAGGAGCACAAGACAAAAGAGTGAAAAGTTTAAACTAAGAAACTATAAAAATGACCAAAAAAAAAACAAACAAAAACAAGAAGAAATAAATACAGATTATAAAAAAAAAAACAAAAAAGAAATCTAAAACCCTAAAGACACTATTATAATCCATGCAAGGTTGGTAAAAATTATATAATAAATGCAACATTTGTATATCTCTCTTATAAAGCTTTGCCTTAATATTAAATTTACTTTTTGACCTTCTCACCAACTTCAGATAGCTCTATTGCCTATCTAATTTGTATCTCGAGCTAGTTGCTACCATCATCCAATGGACCTATATCTTAAGCCAACTGTTTTTTTGTCACTATAATTAGAGTTTCCAGACTAAGTTCTGTAAAGTAGTACCATTTTTATTTGTAAACAAATACATAGTTGCATTCTACTTAACTGTCTGAATTTGGGAAGTAAACAATGCTAATCTTTTGTAGGAGATAAGCCAAATCCCCACTTTTTGGTTGAAAATTTTAAAAGAAAGGCAAGGAAGCGGAAATAGGATAGTAGGTATTACTTGGCCAGAAAAAAGAAGTGTAGCTTAAAAGAAGCCTATTCTTTACTGTTCTCCAGTTGTTTCGCAACTAATAGCTTTGTTGACAGAAGGCTTGGACTTTATTACCTCCACCTATTCACCAAAATTTTATATATGAAGGTGCTATCTTCTGCTAGTTATCTTGTATACAGATGCTTTTGGCTTGTATGTTGAATATATAAAGGAGTCCCTGCAATGTAAAGAAGGTTGACCTTCTTCAGTATCGAAAAAATGCTTTTCTTTTCATCGAAAATTTGGTTCAAGTGATCGTTAGAAAGAGTTAATTGATTTTTGCGATATAAGCATAGTATTACACAATTGATATATAAACTAAAATTAATATATATCATGTTTTTAAAGAGACTCTTCTCAACGATCATTTGAACCAAAATTTCCTACCGAAGAAAAACAAAACTTTTGTTGGAGAGTTGTGGCCTAACGTAGTGGTTTGCCTAGAGGTTAACGGTTTTTTTCTGCTAGAACTCCTTTATAAGTTGTGTGTTTGGCATGCAAGCCAAGAGCGTTATTATACAAGATAACTAGTAGGAGGTGTCTTTGTATAAAAAATCTTGGTGGAGAAGAGGACTCTTACTCTGTAAACACCCCTCTTTCTCCGTTAACAAAGCTACTAGGCTGTACTTCTTTGAAGACACTGGGGAACAACAAAATGTCATATTATCTTCTTCAAGCTGCACTCTTTTTACTTAGTTAAGTGGTACCTTTTTACTCTCTCCTATCCTTCTGTCGGTCTTTCAAAAAATTTTAACAAAAAGTGGGGATTTGGCTTACCCTCTCCAAAAGATCAGCATTGTTTACTTTCCAAATTCAGACAGATTAGCGGAATGCAACCATGTGTTTGTTTACAGATGAATATGGCGCTTTTTCATAAGACTCAGCCTGGGAACTCTAATTATGGCAGCAGGTAACTTGAGATACGGGTCCTCGGATGATGGCAGCACCTGGCTTGAGATACGAATTAGGACAGGCAACGAAGCTATTCGGAGTTGGTGGGAAAGTTGAAAAGTAAATTTAATGTTAAGGTGAAGCTTTATAGTAGAGATATACAAATGTTGTATTTGTTATATAATTTTTATTAGCCACGCATGGATTATAATAGTGCCTTCAGGGTTTTAGATTTCTTTTTATGTTTTTTCTTTTTCACAATCAGTGTTTTTTTTTTCTTTTCTGTTTTTTTTTTTTCTCTGGTCATTTTCATTACTCCTTGTTGAAAATTTCCCCCTTTTGTCTCATGCTCCTTGAGAAGAAGAAAAAATTAGAAGAGAAAAAAGAAATCCTGACGTGGTGTACAACAACCTGTCAAATGATCAAGGGGGGTATCCTTTGTCGATACAAAATCTGAAGCAAGTTTCAGATCCCACCATGAGACTAATAGTTGTTATAGCAGGTCGCATTGGACAGTACTCTGTACGCTTGATGAGTTTCTATTAGAATAGAGTGATAGACTATCTCGGTGGTTACTTAATATGTAATAATTGAATAGTAGTTCTTAAAATAAATAGAAGCAGGATCGCTTATAAAAAAAAAAAAAAATTAAATTATACATTTGGCTATACTTTATTTAATAATAATAATTTTTTAGCCAAAAAGTAGATCTTCATTACAACTTCCAAGTTGCTACGTACCGATTTTGAAAGTAATAAGTTAGCTCTAACTGTTGACTTATAAGTATTTATTTTTGTGAATTGCAAGCAGTGATAATTTTTCACTGTGCGGACTGTGCGCAACACACAGAAACAAAGAAAATTGGCATTTTGCAAGTAGTGCGCACAGTTGCAATTAGTTCGTGTTTTTTTTTATTATTTGCCGCACAGAGAAAAATTAACACTGATTGCAAGTGTACCTATAAAACGAAAGTATATTTTATTGATGTAATATATTTTAGTAACTTGGAAACTATTCATTTAATATTATAGCCAATTATTATAATATTGTGGATTCTTTGTGCTCCGAACCCTATTTGTAACTCTTCAAACCAAATTTCGCTAGACAATATCATTTTTTGTGTCACATGATATTGTAATGAAATATTTTCAATCCTAGCGCGTATTTTTTTCAAAACTTTTCGCGTCATTTTTTTTTTTTTTTTTTTTTGCATTGAGATAAATTTCTTACGTTCTATGTCAATGACACAATGAGCCACTTGGAGAGCATTCAGAACTTCATATATCATGAAAAACGAATTGTATGTCACGGAAAATTACGATTCCAAGCATTATATTTAGTTTCTTTTTTTCTTAATTCACTTTGTTTTCAGGTAACCTACAAGTGGCTAAGTCTACGACTGGGAATTCACACGAGCCATGCTAAACAGTAAGTTCAAACTCCAATTGAATAAGGATCCCTCAAAACGCTCAAATTGATTCAAACTATTCTTGTAACATCAAAGAATGCTCTCAGAATTCGAATCTTCTGTGCCTATGGCAGGGAAGACTCCTCATGCGACCTATTGTCTTTGTGGGGTCACAAAAGAAGATAAATATACTGTGTTATTGGTATCTAAGGAAGAACTAGAAGGTATTTTATTTATCTAGAAGTAAATTTTTACGGATTGACTATTTATCGTTGACATCCGAATCTTCTCGTCGATTCATATATATTTTTATCAGAAACCAAACAAAAGTACAAAACGTTAACAAGCATTCATATTTATAGTATGGAAGAGCGCCGCCTCAAGGTATTATTCATCAAGCAATTATTAACGAATACTTCACCTTATCAATGTCTAAATTTAAAATGCTTTGATTTTGTGTAGGATGCATCCGCTCTTGTTATCACAGATTGCAAGTCCAAGAATATTGTATCAATCGAGTCATCAAACATGTCAAAGTCGAGTTCAACGTCTACAACAAATATATTAGAAAGAGATGATAAACCGAAAACATTCGAGAAAGATAAGATAGAAAAAAAAGAACCAATCTCAACAAAGAAAAAGCGTGCGTCGAATGAAAGAAAATCTATAAATGTAAGAGGCATATATTTGGGTAAAACTTTTTGAAAGCATTTTTAGAACATTGATTAACATTGATTTACCTATTATTAGAAAATCATAAAGAATAAAAAAGCCAACGATAACACATCCATAACATCACTTCTGCAGACTCCCATATCTCACAAAGAAACAGTAAGTGTGTGTGACATTCATTCAGAATTAGAAGAATTAGTTTAATGGTTGTTGACATCAATACAATCCTAAATTATGTATATCGATATTTAGAAACAAACAATGAAAAGAAAAAGTATCCAGGATGATGATGGTAAAAAACTAATAACTGTTCATATGATCAATCTTATGTGTTTATTAATATTATGTCAATTTAAGGTGAGCATGAAAATGACAATTTAGAATGTCAAGAAGAATCAGGTATAAAAATGGAGTTGGATACAAAATATACAGAAGATAGTAGCGTGACAAATGTAGAGATGGGAACTGGAGACGAGAAAGACAATACGCACCATCTTGTTCAATCATTATCTATACTTAGTGATAGTATGGAAATTGATCAGGAGCAATCTCAATTATTATCTAAGAAACAGATAAGGCCCCGTGGTAGACGCAGGGTATCAAAAAAACGAATATATCAAGATGCAAAAGGTTTTAAAGTGAGTGAAGATACATACGAATGGGAATCATTTTCGGAAGATGAATGTGACCCCAGGCAAACTGGAATTAATGTGACAATTAAATCAGAAGGTTCAGGTATTAAAAATGGCATAAATAAGCGTGGAAAGCGAAAAGGCGACGATTCTTCTCAAAAGAGCTTGTTGAATTTTTTTGGGAAGATTTAATGTCTTTATTGTTGGTTTTGAGTACCGTGTATTAGTCCCGGGTTTTTTGAATTCGTCTAAATTTTCTCGAACTGAATTCCTTTTATGGTTAACATATTATAAACCTTTTTTTTCTGCGTACGTACATACGTAATATCGTATCTGTTATATGTACGTATTTGAATACTTTATTAGTATCTTACCCAAAATAGAACTTTCCTTTTTTTGAAGATTTAAAGCTAGCGCCTCACGATAATTAATTAAATGTATCAAATGCTGACCGGCCGATGATCACGTGACACAAACTTTAAACGACTTTGCCCTTTCAAGTCCATGAAAGGGATCACACGTGATACGTGCCTGGAACCCATGATGATCTTAATGAGCTAAAGTAGAGAAAAAAGTGCTACAACAATAAAAAGAATTTCTCATGATTAACTTTTCTGTGTAATGATTGGTCACACACTTCCGACAGTCTGATCCAATTCTTGTTTATTACGGGCAAGGGTTTGTATTAGTCGGTATTACAGAATGCTACACAAGTCATACAAGCTTGTCACAGCTCGATCCTACAAGAAATTATATTTTAAAGTATATGGTTGGACTTGTCATCGGACTTCTAATGTCATTTTTGCACATTTTTTAATTATATACATGCATTTTGTTTTGAGATTAAAACACCAACCATTTTTCACCCCAGAAGATTGTAGCTGAAGAAGCGGGAACTTCAGTAGTTGATAAAAAATGATTTAGTGATCCATATGACATTTTGTTTCGGAGTTCTTGATAGTATAACGATAATTTATTTTCGGTTCATCTTAATTAGGCAACATATGGTATCCAATCAGATCTTTTTTATGTAAACTTGGCCAGAAAAAAAATTTTATATAAAGTGACATGCCCTGAAGTTGGCCGTGGCTTCTCCCCCGCCTTTTCTTTCTACCTTTGCCTTTGTTCCAACAAAATAAAAAAAATAAAAAATAAAAAAAAAAAAAAATAAAAAAAAAAAAAACAAAAAAATATTCATTTCACGCCTCTTATTTTCTATTAGAAAAAAAAAAAAAAGTCCTTTTAATAGGTTCCACCTAGATTAAAAGCTATCTCAAGATCCCTACATCCCTTGTTACGATCCTTAACCCCAACGACATTTTTAACATAAAAATCCATCATGTCCGCAGCAGTTACTGCCACCTCAACAAATGCTCCCGGCGTTCCTGGAATGTCAAATCCCGCAACACAACTCACTCTTGAGCAGCAGCAACTTGCTGCTCAACAGTTTGGTGTAGGTGTTGCAGCCCCTCAAGCCTCTGCCTCGCTTTACGTCGGTGAGCTGGATCCCTCCGTCACTGAGGCTATGCTTTTTGAAATGTTTAGTAGTGTCGGTCCAGTCGCAAGGTATTTAATAGATTATTATTATTTTTTTACTGAACTTGCATTCTTATCAATTGAATAAATCGTAAGTTTATTTTCATACCATTATTTCCTTTAGTATTCGTGTGTGTAGAGATGCCGTTACCAGAAGATCTCTTGGATATGCGTATGTCAATTTCCATAATACCATTGATGGTACGTTTCTTATATTTTTCATCGCTTGATCTCAAAATACATAGTCGTCAAAATTGTATGAAAGCGATGTAGAACCATTTAACGGAATATTTGTGTATATTTTACATTTCTATCGTGTTCAAGTTATAAATCAATAATTTTAGGAAAATAAATCAAATTATTAATGATTTTTTGCTAATATAAAAGCTAATCACTGATTTTATAGGTGAACGTGCTCTTGAAACTTTGAATTATACTGTTATCAAAGGAAAACCCTGCCGTATCATGTGGTCACAACGTGATCCTGCCCTTCGCAAGACCGGTACCGGAAATATTTTCATCAAAAATCTCGATAAGGCGATTGACAATAAAGCCCTTCATGATACATTTACCGCCTTTGGAAATATTTTAAGCTGTAAGGTCGCCATGGAAGATGGTTCATCTAAAGGCTATGGTTTCGTTCATTATGAAACTGCCGAAGCTGCAGAAAACGCTATTAAGCATGTAAACGGAATGTTACTTAATGATAAGAAAGTGTGAGTAAATTTTGATGTAATGATTTCTTGCATATTTAACTTTAGCAATTAACTTTAAATATAACTTTCAGATATGTTGGCCATCATATTCCTAAAAAAGAACGTCAATCTAAGCTTGAAGAAATAAAAGCCAAATTCACAAATATTTATGTTAAAAACCTGGACACTGAGGTCACAGAAGAGGAATTCCGTAATCTCTTCAAATCTTTCGGAAAGATCACATCCGCTGTTATTGCCACTGATGAAGCTGGCAATTCTAAGGGATTCGGCTTCGTTAATTATGAGAATCATGATGAAGCAGCATATGCGGTAAATGAGCTTCACGACACAGAATTGAAAGGCAAGAAATTATTTGTGGCCCGTGCTCAGAAAAAACATGAACGCGAAGAGGAACTACGAAGACAATATGAGCAGGCTAAAATGGAAAAGTTAAACAAATATCAAGGTGTCAATTTGTACATAAAAAACCTTGAAGACGACATTGATGATGAGAAATTGCGTCAAGAGTTCTCTGTCTACGGTGTTATTACAAGTGCAAAGGTGATGAGAGATGAGAGAGCGCAGTCTAAGGGGTTTGGTTTCGTCTGCTTCTCGTCTCCTGATGAAGCTACCAAAGCAGTAACCGAAATGAATGGTCGCATGATCGGCAATAAACCAATTTACGTTGCTTTAGCTCAAAGAAAGGATGTACGAAAATCTCAATTAGAAGCTCAAATTAATCAGAGGAACCAAATTCGTATGCAACAAGCGGTAGATTTTTCTTCTTTTATATGAAAAGTGTTTTTTTCTCGAATTAAAACTCATTAAAATTTGTCCCAATTACTTAGTCAGCTGGAATGGGTGCCGGTGCCTATGGAATGCCTATTGGATATGCACATCCAGGCTCATATGGAATGAGGTCTGGCCGCCCCGCACCTTTTTACGGTCAAGTTAATATGATTAATGCCGTTCCTGGTACGACACCAAACCTTCGTGCCAATAATTTTGGAGGAATTGTCAATCGCCCTAATGGAAGACCACAAAATAATCCTCCTCAGAACACTGGTCGCGGAAACCCCAATGCTAATCGCAGCATTAGAAACCAATATCAGCAAACACCCAAACAACATAATCAATTCAGTCAAAATAGTCGTGTCAGCAATGGACAAGGACCATCTAACACACGCAATACCGTTCCTGCCGTACAAAGTTCTTCAGCTTCTATGAGCTCAGTCTTTGATAATCGCAACATTATTGGTGCTTCTCACGAAGCGCAAAAACAATTGCTTGGTGAGCAATTATTTCCTAAGATTTCGGCACGCCAACCACAATTGGCTGGTAAAATTACTGGAATGTTGTTGGAAATGGATAATTTTGAGTTGGAGCATTTACTTAAAAATCCTGGCGCTCTAGATGCTAAGGTAATCAATTTATTTATTTAAAAAAAAAGGTTATTTTATCAACTTAACTGAATAAATTATGTATTAGGTCGAAGAAGCTGTTACCGTGCTGAGACAACACCAAATGGCTACTGGCCAGGACTTTCCCCAATCTGATTAAATAATGTAAGTCTATAGTTATGAATTTCTATTTTGGCCTTGCGCAATCGTTGAATCGTTTCGCATTTTTTTTTTTTTTGATAGCATCTTATAAAGTTGGTTATAGAATGGAGAGAAGCAAAATCAATTATCGCACCATGGGAAACAAAGAAAATACTTGAAACATTATAAATAATATTTTAGCGTTCATTATTTTCTTCCCTGGAAAATCAATTATTATTTCTATACTAGCTTATCTTTATTAACATTTAGAACTTTCATTTTTATACACATTATGTGAATGCGATATCAAAAGGAATGATGGTATTGTAGAAATAATGTTTGTGTTTGTTGATTGGTTGTTTTTCGCGCAATTTTTTTTTTTTTTTTTTTTTTTTTTTTTATACTTCACTTTTATATTCAGTTGAAATGAACAACTGATCATGTTTAAAATGTGCGATATTCTTTTCCTTTATTTAAGAGGCTCAATGTTCAAACTCCACCTTTATCCTTTCCCTTTTATAAATAATATAGTTTAACGCCTTTTTATTTTTACGTTTTTTTTACTACCAATCCTTTGGTTTTTTTTTTTTAATAAATATTTGTTGGAACATTTGTGCAAGGGCAAAACAAATATCAAATTTTTATAATTATTTCTTTCATTGTTATTTTAGTATATATTTTTATCAATATATATATGTTGATATTTGTTGATTTTTATAGATGCTGAGATGTTAAGTATATTAACAAAAAAGTTTGTTTAGAAAAACAGATTTTTTAGTGTATATAAAATTTAATACACTAATTATAGCATATATTATTTTATTATAAATTATATATTTTTTAATAAAAAGTTATTTATATGCTATCAGGATGGTATTAATTTATTGTTTTGTAATTACTTAAAAAGTTTATTGTATGTTTTGTAATATAATATACAGTATACTATAATAGTTTTATTATTATATTTATTTAAAATACAAAATTTTTTATTATACTTATTTTTGAACTAATTATATTATTTAATTGTTACAAATACAACTTAAATTTAAATAAATAAAAAACTTAGTAACAAAGTTGTTTAAAAAAAATTTTTATATATAATATTAAATGATTTACCTATTATAAATTTATTTTTTTTAAATTTTACAGTAATGTTTATAATATATTTAGTGATGGAACTACCAAGTTTTTAGTTAATAGTAAAACAATTATTAATTAGTTAATAATAGTTAGTAATAGTTAATAATTTTAGTAATTGTTAAAAATTGTTATACAAGCATTTTAATAACTGTATATTATGTAATTGTTTGAATCAAAATCCTAACAAATCATTCTGACAAACAATTCTGACAACCAAATTCCCAGCACAAATTAATCAAAATTTAACTAATATTAACCCAACATAGGCAAAGTTATCAGGATTCTATTTCTTGAGATTTTAACTAGCCTTTATTTTAATTGTTAATAAAAAAATAATAAATATTAGTAATATAACACCCAGATATGTTAAAATTTTTGCACTGCTGGTATTTAAATATTATCTCAATATAAATTTGAAAGAAAAAAAAAAACCAATCTGGTGGTAATTTAAAGAAAGTAATAAGCTTAATGGTTCATACTATTTTGCTCAATATAATTTCTGCAAAACAAATTGCCCTGGTGAACTCTCAAAAATGAAAAAACATTTATTAGTAAAGTGTAAAGATATTAGTCAAAATGAATATGATAGTATTAGTGATATTTTAAAATATACAAAAGTAAAAAAGAAACAAAAAAATAACTCACTATTTCAAACTAATACTGATAATAATACAGACACAAGTAATAAACAAGAAATTGAATCTGTTTCATTATCTATTAAAGAAAAAGCATCTATTAATCATTAACTGCTTAAAGCATTAATCTCAGCAAATGCACCATTATTATTCATAAAAGATACTGAAGTAATTAAATTGTTTTATATGTTAAGACCTGAATATAAGCTTCCATCCCATAAGTGGATAAGCACGGATGTTTTAGACAATATACATGAAAATATACAGTGTAATATTCAACACTTTATATCTAACTTAATATTTTTAACATTATCCAGTAATGGTTGGACGAATATTTCAAAAAATAGTATGCTAAATTTTATTATAATCAATGAAAAACATAAAAGTCAAAATTTTAAAATAGATAATTATTCTTATTTACATCACACAGATAATAATATATTTAAAATATATAAAGAAATTGGATTAAGTCTTAGTTTGAACAAATAGATAGCATTTATTTCAGATAGTAAACCTGATTTTAAAAAAGCACAATGCCTTATATGTAAGGTAAATATAGTAATTATAATTTTTTTTTATTTATATATAAACTATATTAAATATATACATATTATAGAATTATGATCTTGGCAATAAAATTTTAACAATCCCATACATGGTATATTAAACCAACTTGTTGGTTAAGAAGATAGTCAAATCATTATGTTTTAAATCTGTTATTAAAAAGATGTTAATAATTATCAACTATTTTCAAAATTCAAATATCATATTATTTAAATTAAGAGAATTGGCTTCCAATGAAACTTTAAAATCTCAATATCTATATATTATCTGTTGGACAATATTTACAAAAGTATCAGAAACTATATTACAAATCCAAACGAGTTTGAAGATAAATTGGAGTATATATTTATATATAAATTTATATTATTAGTCACTAGACATGTTCTATCTGATAATCTCCCTAGTGATTTATTCTTTGTATAACATAAATCAATATACCTTTTTTTTTTACTGCATTTTTTAATTAATAACAAGCAATATTTTGATTTTAAACAAACTTTTTTTTTGAGTTTTATACTTTCGTTTTGTACCAAAAATACTTATATTGCTTTATTTTTTTGTAAAATAAATCAGATCTAAAAATTGCAATTTTTTAACACAAAGATTCTCATTCAGGTATTGTAAAGTAAGAGTGGTTTTACTTTGTTAATAGTAGCAAATAAAGAGTATTACAAAGTTTATTATTTGTACAAGAGTACTTAAGTTGTAACTTTTAGGCATTTGCTTAGAGGGTACTTTTTAATAAGGTAAATTAGAGGTCATTTTGGGTTACTTTAATTGCTGATTCAGATAAAATCGGCACAATTTCTATATTAGAATTTGGGGCAAAATCTCTATAATATTAATTATATACTGAAATTTAAGCAAAGTTAAATAAAAAGTATTTTTTTTATTAAGTTAACAACCAAAGCAAATTAATTAAAAGTTGTAGAGCTCATTAAGACATATCTAATAGTGGTTAGATCATCTAAATTGGCATAGTGGATACCAAGTTATTATCAAAAAATGATTGGCTGACTATATAAAATTTCTATATAACATATAGGTGGATTTGGCGCAAGTAAATTGCCATGTGATAATTCAGTAATTATATATGAAATCAAAGATTTTTATTGGATGTTGCTCTGATTTATTTCCTTATTTAGTAATTTTCAATCAGATTTCAATCACAACAAACATCATATCAATTACGTGTAATAAATTAATTGGTCGGTTATACAAATTTATGATTTGTTTATATCAAAATATACATGTAGATTATTTCTTGAATTATCACATCAATGAGTCAAATCCGCCCATATGAACAATACTTTGTTTATATAGAATTTTATATAGTTGGCTAGTTATTTTTTAGCAATAACCCAGTATCTACCAGGCCAATTTGGATGATTTAACTACCATTAGATACGTTTTAGTGAGTTCTATAACTTTTAATTAATTGATTTTGGTTGTTAGCTTAATAAAAAAAATACTTTTCATTTGACTTCACTTAGATTTTAGCATATAATAAAAAGTTATATTGTACTCATCCTAAAATTTACTATTGTCTCAATATAGAGGATTGCTAAAGTCTTGTACCTATGTAATTTTTAAAGTTTTAATTGTAATCAGGGTTAGGGTTAGTTTAGTGTTAGAATAAAAGTAGTTTTATAAGTAAAATTGCCTCCTCGACATTTTTTATTAATACAACAAGACAAGTTTAGACCACTGTTTTTCATATATTTGGGTTTTTTGATTTTTTAACTTCTTCAGGTTAATCTGTATAAACAAATTTCATGATTTTGATTAGTTGATCTATATATAAAAAATCATGTAGATACAAGGCTTTAGCGAACCCCCAATATAGTAATTATGCTGATCTTATTTGGATCATTAATTAATCTTTTTTTGTTAAGATTAAATAGATTTTTTTGAAAATTTTAACTATAGTCGTACTTGAGTTATATCACTCCTTTTTGTCTTTGAATTTTTTTGAAGATATAACTAAGATTGAGATATATAAAACATATAAAAAAAAGAAATTTATTCTGTTTAAATATGGAAATATAACTAAAGTAATAAATAAAAGAGGATATGTGGTCTTTGCCTTAAAAATGACCCTATGGCACTATAAATTTTTTTTGAGTAAACAGTAAATAAAGATTGTGTAACCCAAATAATCAAAACTTGATTTTCTACTAATTTTAGATGTGATTTTCACAAAAGTTTTTATTATTGGATAAAAATTGATCTGTATAAAAATGCCCTGTGCAAAATTAATGATATTCACTATGGTAAATTATTTCCATTCTATTTTTAGATATTTGAAAAAATTTTCTGTCAAATTTCTGGACTTCCATAACTTGGTTTAATATTAAGTTAACTAGTTTTAAAAT